TTTGCGGAGATTCGCTCTTGAAGGTTTGAAAGCCCATTGCTTTAATGAAGTCACAGACCAAGATCATTCTTCAGCAATGAAGTACGCAATGATGAACGACAAAGAGACATGGCAAAGATTGGTATGCTTTTGCATCGAAAGGAGGTTCGACGTTTTTGTGGTAGTGTCGGTTTTCTTCCTGCGATGCACAGTCACAGTTTTAGTGCGATTCAATAATTGAGGAATGAACCAGCTTGACGGAAGCAGTTTTAATGATCCTGTACTGTTATTGCCTGTGCTGCTTGAACAACGGCTGAATTCCGTCTGAGGACGCCAAATTGATGCAATTGTTCCAGGGTCAGGACGACGGTCACAGTTTCGTCCGTTTTGATTCGCCTGAGATTTGGACGTAATTTACGTAGATCGTTAACTGAGCGTATTCATCTCTCCGTCGGCCGGCGTAAGCCTTTCATGTGGCAACGTCGTACAGCGTTAAAGCTAATTATTGCTGACAAGTTTCAAGCATGGTCATCGGAGAGCACTGAAACGGCTTCTTATTTGCGATGACTTCCGCGCCTCAGCCGCAATCATAATTTATCGTTCGCCATCGCCGGAACCACTGTGCGATAGCTGAGGCCCACAGCCCAGTGAGACGGTTGCCTAGAGCGTAATTGTGAGTTGCTTCGTATGTTCAATTACAAAACATGTACAAATGCATGATCGGCCGGTAAGTCGATACTAGCAATGTTGTTTTTCCGATCATCGAGTCGTTCGACTTCCGAACGGCTAGCCACGGCGTTGGCGACTTATCGGTCACTCCCGCTAACTAGCTCTAACCTCGCTTCTCGTTTATCTGCCACTGCATACGTCGGTGTTTTAGAAAATCGTGCTCCCGGTGCAAGTGTCCCCGTGAAGCTCATGATATTCATCACCACAAAGCCGTGTCGGTCGAAGATCGTCTTGGCTGGAGATCGACAAATCTTATGCAGACATCCAAGGACAATTCCACTGACGCCGGCTACTCCTGGATGCCCCCTGGTTTAACGAAGCAAAAGGTAATTGAAATTGATTTTTTCATATCATGTCATGTCCGCCGCGCCGCAGCCGCTCCCTCATCAGCTAGAAACAGATAACTACTTACCCAATACGTGCCTGCGACGAGAACTCAACGGATCACGCCTTGAGGGCGATTGCTTGAGTCTGAACAGCACCCATTCCCTGAAGTCTATCTATTGAGACTCACGCACCTAATCTTGTGTTCATGGATCGGAATAGATTTATTGAAGATTAAACGCTAAATCATTGAGGTGACGGCCATCACTTAATCGTGAATCAGCAACGGATATTTATTCGATTAACTCATTGATAAAACGACAGCTTTCACGCATCCGCGAATGAGGTGATCGTCTGAGGCGGAAGCATTTGCTTATTTGACAAGCTTAAGTCGATGAGGTTGATTAATGGCTTTGTACGCTGATGCAGTGCTGCTTTATCGCCTGTTTTCAGCATAGTATGAATCGTGTGTCCTCGCGTCTCTTTTGTGTATGTGATGTGCTCTAACCTGGTAAAGAACTTTTCAAACCATATGGATTCATTACAGACCTGATATGCTTCCAATTCACCGTCTATCCTTAATGCCCGTGAGACCCAATATTCAGTCGTTCACTTCTATACTTCTTGGCTTCTTTCACCTGCAGAACTGTTCTAATGAACATGAAAATGAGAAGCTGTTTCGGTGCTCAAGTTGAACTTATTTTGCTATGCATAACAGGCTTCCATGCACGTAGTCCTCAGCCTCTCTGAGGTGGAACGCTGTGCATCACATATTTCTATGCGATTGAAACCACCGTCCTTATATCACGCGAACATCGTTTTATCCTGTCACAAAAACGGGTCTGATGGCGTGTGGTTCCAGATACCAGATCGATTCCAACAGAAAGAAAGAAGTTGCTCTTATCGGCCATTTCCCTCAAGCAAAATTATCAACTTGCCTCGACGCAGTCAACTGAGAAATGGATATCAGGTCATTACTTTGCGAGCAAATGGGACCACCGGGTGTTCTGGTGTGGTCACTCCAGAATGGGCGAGATCTACGGCCATCGTGTCTGGTGTGAGCGCTTCTGAGCTGCTGCAATTGGACACGATCCACTTGACAGCTGACTATTATGACTCCCAATCTGCGCAATTTGCACTCCCTGTTTAAACAGCTCAGAAGATCATAGACTCTGACCGCCATACCTGTTATTTGGTCACTTTCGACGCATAACTTTTACAGTATCTTCCGCTTTCCAGAGGAAGCTTCGTGCCTGGTCAGTGTTCATTCGGGATACCAACTTGCAGAGTTCGCCGAGGGCGTTCGTCCATTTTTCACTAATTCATTTTAATAATTCGACAGGCACTCCGTGCTGAGTATTTATTGAACTATGTCTTCTGAGTGCTGGGAATATGATATTCAAATTTGAGCTAATCCACTGAGTCGTTGACCCTGCAAAAGATTGGGTTCGAAACAGACACCTGTACGATTCTTCGCAACTGGCTCTACCTGGTTGTCATTGTTTCTGCTTCACTGAGTAAATACCCCAGTTCGTTTATAGACCAACTATCGCCTACTTTGAACCCTGTGTTAATCCTTAACTCACTTTCGATCGATTTGCATTGTCCCTGGTCACAGTAGGTGTTGCATTCCCTTGTCCTCTGCCTTGTTATATTGATGAACGGCATGTGATAGCAGT